CTTCCTGACTGTCCCTCCAGTGGGAAGGGGGTGGGGGGAGCAGTACCCTGTTTATGGAGCTGGACAGTGCTTCCCACATTGCCAGGATTCATGCGCTGCCAGGCCTGGGCAGCCTGGCCCAGGCCCCAGTGCTTCGTGCCCTGTTTACTGAACTGGACTGAATGGGATCTGTTATCTCCTCTGTCCAGATTTCCCCTCTGTGACAGAGAAGCTCACTATGCTCCAAATGAAGGAGCTAAAAGACCAAGATGAAGTGACTGGCCTTGGTTTTCAATCTATCAGAGGTCCTTAAACTGAGAAAAGAAACTCATTAAGTAGCTGGTTTCAGAGGCTCCTTCATTCCATTTCCAGCATATCTTCCCGGCAACAAAAAATGTCCATCTCCACAGCTAAGTTTCCCATTTGCTCCTGGTGCTCCGGGCTCTCGCTCTGACACTGGGGTAGGTAGGTGGTTGTCTGCCCCCACCACCCGTCTGGTAACAGCCCCAGGTGTGTGGCTGGTGATCCCGTGAGGCCAGGTCACGGCCCACAAGGTCTGGGTGGAGCTCCACTCCAAGTCTGGCCAATCAGAGACCTGCATCCACGTGGTGGCAGGGATTGGCTCACAGCTGGGCACATGAAGGAAGCTGAGTGAATCTCAACACGTCTACAGGAGTGACTAGACCTGATGGTGAGAGGACTCATCCTCTCTCAGGGAAGCCATCTTGCCTCCTCTTGACACTGGAGACTGAAGCCACAAAAGGCAGAGCTGAGAACCAAGTCTGAAGAATTCATTTGAGCCCTAAAACCATTCACCTGAAGGCAGTCCCCGCCCCTAGACTTTGCAATGATCCAAGACAATTAATCCCATTTGCCAAAGCAGCTTGGGTTTGTTTTGTCACTTGCAGCCAAAAGAGTTGAAACAGATCGAAAAATCTTAATCTCCCAAATTCTACTTCCATGATGAACCGTGATGGTTCTGGCTCTACAGAAGAGTGCAAACAGGGCGGGGTTCCCCAAATATCAACCTGCCAGTCTCACCAGCCACACTTCGGTCCAACACACTGAGGGGAACCCCATACAATGGGGCAAAGACCTTCAAGTACCACCAGAGAGGACATACCACTGAAGCCCCCAACCTGATGGGCAGATTCCACTGGCAGGCTTCCCCAAACTATATAAAGTGCTAATCAAATATTGTAAAATGCTAGTGGTGTAACAGATGGTTACCAGCTGCAGTCTTCAAAATTAACATTTGGAAAGAGCACAACTTAGTTTTCATTACTTAAAAACCCAAGCAATACTTAGAAACCAACCCAGCAAGTATGGGGCGGGAGACTATTTTTCAGCTCAATTATCATTCTCAGTAATAACTGGCAGAGAAGGCATGTGTGGGTCCACTCAGAAGAGTTAAACTAAAAATGTCTCAATTTAATTTAAAGTGTGGGTTTGCTATGATTTAAGGGGCAGTGAACCTCACAGCATCATTGCTAAAACTGTAGTCAAACCCCGTGGTCCTGGGAATGCTCGCTTGGCACATCCTTACTCCTTGGACTGGAACCCTCCACCTGGGCTCCCTGCCTCTGTGAAAACATCACCATCTTCCTAGCCAGTGGTCAGCAAACTCATTAGTCAACAGAGCCAAATAGCAACAGTACAACGATTGAAATTTCTTTTGAGAGCCAAATTTTTAAAACTTAAACTATATAGGGAGGTACATTGTTATTAACTTAATTAGGGTACTCCGAAGGCTTAGAAAGAGCCACACTCAAGGGGCCAAAGAGCCACATGTGGCTCCGAGCCGCAGTTTGCCGACCACGGTCCTAGGCAATCAAACCAAAACCATCACA